AGCAATACGTGCTTTTTCCTCAGCAGCAATACGTGCCTTTTCATCGGCAGCAATACGTGCTTTTTCCTCAGCAGCAATACGTGCTTTTTCCTCGGCTGCAATACGTGCTTTTTCCTCAGCAGCAATACGTGCTTTTTCCTCAGCAGCAATACGTGCTTTTTCCTCGGCTGCAATACGTGCTTTTTCCTCGGAAGCTTCACGTCGTGCTTCTTCTGGTACCTTGGGTCGAGACCCCATTTGATTAAACCCATCCCTTTGAATCATGTCTTGCATAGCTATTTTATTATCCTCAGTAATCTCGTAGGTCTTGCTATAGTTCTCTTCTTTCAGTATATCATCAGATATATTTAAGTTGCCATTTAGAAAAACGTAATTATCTAGGGCAAATTCTTCACTCTCAGACACAGGGGTCCTAACCTGAGCTCGTCCGTAAAGGCTTAAAGATGCTTTGCGCTCTCGATAGTTGCCCCAGATTTCCCACAATTTTCTCTCCCATTTGTAAAGGATTCGCTTTCGCGTATGATTTTCTGCTAGATTCACTGCAAATATCATAGAATAATGTACGCGCTCTTGCTCTAATTTCTGCATTTTTTCGTTTTTAAAATATTCAAAGTTATGAGTTCTCGAATATGGAAAGCCTGGAGTATCTAGATTTTTCTCTTTGCGGTCTTCAGTGTCCCTATCTTTCTCATTTTTGTGAGGTAATGGATCCATATACTGGTGAAGTTCGGAGACACACTCCTGAACAGGGGTATGAAACGTGTGAGACTTTCTTTCCACAGCGTCTTCCACAGGCTTTGCTAAACTTAGATTTTCAGGTTGGTAAAAATACAGTTTATTATGGGTATGTGAAAGATAAGGTCTCTCCACAGCTAGCGATGAACTTGACCGTGCTATTCTTGAACGTATGAGATCGATATTTTGTGCAGACCCATGTTGATGTTGATCAAGAAACGTTGACGAGGAAACAGGATTGAAGGAATTCTTTGAATTTGAAACCTCCTGCGGTGATGTAGGGCACATTTCTGACCTCAAAATTGAGATCTCAGACGTGGTTTGCCGGTTGTCTCGATTGTATTTCGCCGGTGCGGCCAAAACTAAAGCGGGTTTCGGCGATTGGGGTGGGGTTCGATCTTTCGGATTGGTCGCTGTTCGAATTCCTTTATAAAAATGCTCCGGCTTCCCCGCTTCCTCGGGGATTCTCTCCAGTGTCTTTCCATGATCCCCCTGTGTTGAACACCCCGCACCAGTGGCTAAATGAGTCGTCTCAACCGCTGGACTACCCTGCCATGGATCCAGGCTGGCAGATGCGATGCCTGGAGAATTGCGCTTACCTGGTTTGGCCTCCATGCCGTGTAGGGATCGAGTTCGCACCCCCTTCTCCCGCGGCGGTGGGGTGTGAACAAGGTGGGAAGACGGGGAAAGATGTGGTGATACGACCTTGGGGACCCCATTTCGCCGCATATCGGTATCCCGTGTATGGGTTGACATCATCGACGATTTGCTTGGCAGAGGTCCCGCATGCGAATTGTAGTGATCATTTTCACCATAACCTCTAATCGCCTCGATGTCAATCAGCTTTCTATGATTCTTGGCTTTATTGAGCTTTGCTTCCCTGATAACTTCTGTATCGGAAGTGCGGGCATCTATGGACTTTTTTATCTGTTCAATTCGCGTCGGTGGTGTACAACATGTATCACCCCTATACACAAAGCTCTGTCGACCTGCTGGCGTGGAGATAAAGTCGTCTGGGTCTTTATCAGTCTTCAGTTTCTTTCCGTTTTCATTGGAGAGTAAGTGTTCCCGATGTGAAAAGAGATTAGGCGAAGCATCAGGGCAATTAATAATTTCTTTCCAGTTCGACAGCCCCTCCTGATTTTGAATTAAGAATAAAATTTCCTGATGACGTCGCAAATCCTTTACACGACGTCGCAGTGCTGCACGCTCCTCATGATTACCTCCTTTGTTCTCTTTAAGTCTTCTAAATTCTAGGATCAGTTCGTTAGTGCGATGGATATCATTCAAGAGCGCCTGAGAAGAAGCAACTGCAGTTTTTTCAACAGTTTGTCGTGATGATAAGTCGTGTAACGCATAAGCAATGGAACTCTGGCCTTTTTCTGCCCTTAAGTCTGGATTGAACTTCTTGTCTACTCCCCTAGTTCTAACCTTACTTTCTAAATTTGTGTTTCGAGATTGATGTTGAGTATCCTTGACGTTTCTACATCTAGGGGAAACTAAAGGAGCTTCTAAATTATCCGAAAAGACCCTAAAAGGGTAGGAATGAGGTAACTCATCGCGTTGCACAGCTGCAGTTTGGCTAATGTTTTTTACTCTCTTAGCTAGTCTATCCATGTGCAGATGTCTTGAGCTCAAAAGAATATAAATTGAAAATAAAAACCTAAAATGAAACTATCTTAAATATACTATATCTAGAATAATTACATAGATTGATAATGATACGATGCAAATATATGATTGATGTTCTTTCTTTATGATGATTTACTTGAATAAAAATACAAATTTGATGTCGCTCCTTTTATAGAAATTAAGTTGAGTAAAAAGCAAAAATGAATAAAGCAATAATATACGTAAAACTAATAGCATAAATTCAATCAGGTTAGAAACGATTTTTCCTTATTCGTCTTAGAAATCCCATATATTTTATATTCGATTTATTACTAATATATATATATATATACAGAATTATAAAAAAGTATGTCTACGTTAAGAATATCCTTCATATAAAATAAAGGCCATTCACAAGTTTGAATGTAGCATAACCTACTGCAATCTACATTAAAAAATGTATTCAATTAATAACGATAGTAAATTTGAGAATACCTAAATTATGTAATGCGTTAAAGCATAGAAAAAATAGTGAAAAATTCTGAATGTTCGAAATAAAATAAAAAACTATAATGTTGCAGGCAAATCCTTCTTATTCAATTAGTTTCCTCTTTTTTGTATGTGCATTTGTTTCGAAGTGTGCGACTGTCCTTTGGAATACGAAACTTCAGATGCTTCCCCTACACTCTAAACATATATTTCCTACTCTTACTAAACTACTAGGACAACTTTACTACACCTTTTTGTCCTCCTCGTACGAAGAGCTCATCCCACACCCCTGGCAGCTTTTCTAACGACTGCGCAGTTACGACAGGATATTTGTACTTCACAAGTGCTAGCGTACGGAGAACAAAGTCTAGCTGAGTTTGGCGTTCCTGATAACTAAGTGAATCCAAGTAGAAAGGAAGGAAGAATCCCTGCATCGTTATCTCCCGTGAAATAAAACTAGACCCAGAAAACATCAAACCGAAGCTATTTTGTGCACCGTATGTGACCACCTCACCCCCGGGAGCTACGAGCCTCATGAACGAGTCAAAGAAACGTCCACCAACGCCATTGAGACATAACGCCGCCCCGGGTCCGTCCCCGAGGGCTATTTTCATCTCATGCAACCCCTTCGCATTGTACTCGAACACCTCCGATCCGAATGCTACATGGCGTTTCTTTGCGTCGACAAAACGCTCAGAAGGGGAGGCCGCCGTAAGCACTTTTACGCCCAGCGCCTTGGCCAGGGCGGATACTGCCAGAGAGGTCACGCTGCTGCCGCCATTCTGTATCACTACCTGGTCTTTTTGTAAGCGCGCGTAGCCTTGAAGGAGGTGCTGTGCAGTTAAGTAGTTCGAAGCGTTTACAGCTAGCGAGGCGTGCGCAGGATCTATCCTGTGTAAACAGATCGGTGACACGGCAATAACACTTGCCCATGTCCCATGCAAGGGTGCAATCCACACTGTATCACCAGCTTTCACAGGTGAACCCTTAGAATTCACTGGAGTCCATAGCACCCTCCCCACACCTTCGCAACCAGCAACGCGGGGAAATGCACTTATATTAACACGTCTTCGACCCAGAACGGTTCCATTAATGACAGCTGCATCCACACGATGAAGTGGTGCAGATAAAATCTGTACTACTGCCTCATTTTCGTTGGGCCTCAGTTCGTAATTTTCAATTTTAAGAACAGTATTAAGTGGACCGCTACGGGTATAGCGCCATCCAGTCGCTACTATTTTTTGCATCACTTTGAACAAATAACCTGAAAAATAAATATATAATAAATAGAATAAAAGGATCAATAGTCATCCTATACTCATATATAGAGATACTGTTTAGTTAACACAATACATGTGAGTTGTGAATTTCAGAAAAAAAAAAGGAATATTAAATATAAATGTGCCTATATAAGTAGCAACCAACATCTCAGAAGGTGTAAATAAAATCTGCTTTTGGTCAATACAAAAGATTTTATTACATAAATCTATTTATTCTTCTCACTTCAAAATTAATGTAGAATAATATGTATTCATTTAGGAAATTTATAAAAGTACAGCATTACAAACATTAGAAAAACAAAAAGAAACTCATGTTGAAATGCGATATAAACAATGACATAAACAATATACCCTTCTTGATTTTGTTTATTTGCATCATAAGTTCATCAAATGATATATTTGAGCATTTGTTTTAATTATTTTCTATTTTATTCTAAATTGCTTTTTTAAAGACAAAATATCGTAATCGATAATGATTCACCTTTCCTCATATAAAAATAATACCCTAACCTAGATGACTCACGATTGTATAAGTAAAACCTTAAGGGAATTATGTAAAAGATAGCATCCCAAAGAAATACAATTTTTAATAATAATAATAGCAAACCCACTGCGTAAAGATATTATTTAAGATTTTCATGCCTTTCTGACAATTAAATGGTAAAAAAACATGAAACTAAGATGAATCAAAAAAAATGTAGAACCAACGAACCACTACCTCCCTCAC